TATCCTCTCAGCAGCCTTAGAGGGTGTTGGAGAAAGCTGCCAAATGACAAAGACAGTCATGGAGGCATACCTCTATGGCTATCATGTCTCTCCCTCTCATACCCTCTCTTTGCTCAAACAAAAAAACCCCACAAACCTGCATGAAATACTGGCCAAGTTGCTCTGAGAATTTATTTTCACTTGAAGTCTTCTACAATAAGTGTGTATGATTTACTGTGTAAATGACTATGGCTATGACTAAAATTACTTGACATCTTCCTGCTAGTACATTGTTGTGAGGACTGATTTCTCTGGATGAGCTGTTTATGTGCTTTGAAAAAGAGGTAATCTTTTATTCCACGGCAGAAGAAGGATTTATTCATTACTACTATCAGAGAAATGGAAACATTTATCTTACAGCGCCTTTTTGTCAGGCATAGGTGATCAGGACATTTATAGATATGCAAAGAGTGTAGTGCATGTACATTACTCATGTTCTGGCATCTACTTGTGGAGTTACACATAGACTGTGTGCTGGGAAGAGGTCTGGCAGTTATACTAACCTACACATTTTGCCCGAGACAAATTCCTACTAAACTCAAGTGCAATTGATTTCCTTGGAAATTTGATTGTTGTGAATAATTACATTGCTAATAACATGTTCATACTTGAAGGACTTACTGTTTAACAGTCAATTATTTCAGGTAAAGGCAGTTTTTCTGATGATCTGCTTGTACTGATGAGTTTGTGTATCAAAACTGCTGTACCATGTATAAGTCATAAAAATGGCTTTGGCTTATGAACTGACAAAAATGAAAGTGGAGAAATAGGTTACAGCTATATGAAATACTCAGTAGCTGTAGGGAACATCCCTGAGCATCAGAACTCAGTTATCTGTACCATAAACTTTTTTAAGTCCTCCCTGGCATGGTTTTGGTTTGGGTCAATCAGCACTTTCCTCGTCAGTTCCTGGACATAGTTCAGAAGCTAGCATGGGCCACAGACCATTCCAGTAAGTGGTCTGCATATGATCATCCTGTTTCAAGAGAATAAGAGAGTTCAGCAGTAGGGACAGGCTGTCCTGTGATAGTTGGCCTCCGTGTCAGATACAGGACTCAAGCACATTTAATTTTATTGCAGACATTGTCACAAATGTTTAGAGCTTTTTTTGGAAGAAGCTTCTGATTGTATTTCTTACTGAAAACTATTTGCAGACTCTCTTCTTCCTTGTTTTGCAACTTGACCAATCACTCTGTAGAGCCCTACTGCTACGTAACATTCCAGCCTCCATGAGCAACAGCTGTACCTGTGCTGGAATGACAATATTTACACAAGAAACAGATTTCTTAAGGGTATGCTTTAAAAATGCAAATTGGATCTGTTCTTCATTTGTTTGCTAACAGTCAAAATTGTTTTTAAAGCTTAATGACATAAAAAAAAGAAACCACTACTTTCCCATTCTAGTTATCTCTTGAAAACTGTGTGAAACAAGGAGAAAATAAGTACAATTTTGCAGTGAAAGAAATCTGCCTGAAACCAACCAGACTGTGAACCGTGCCTAGCAAATGAACTTTTTTCTGGCCTTATGCAACAACAAACATATCTGCTGTGGAGAAACACCCAGTAGGTTTTAAGAAGTCTTTGGAAGTCTCTTTGAATTCATTCACCATAGACAGCCCAGAAATTAGGGTGCTGGTCAGAGAGAAGGAGTGATCCCTCAGGAGAGACCATGGCCCCACGCCATTGCTGTCTTCCCTGGCCCTTTCCTCTGTCCTGGCTCGGTGGCCAGCTATGTCCTCCATATGCCCTGCAGCAACAGAGATCCTGACATTTAAGTGTACTCTCACCTTCCAAGTAGTTACAGAGAGGCTGCCATGCTTGCTCAGCCAAACACTAATAAATAATTGCTTATGATTTTCTTTTACAATGTGTTTTAAGATATACAGCTATTTTGCTGCGCTTTCAGGAAATGGAGAATGAAATACGGGTATTTTGCTCTGCTCTCAGGAAATAGGGGAATGAAATAATTGCTTTGCTGCTATGGAGAAAATATGCAGGTTCATAATTTTTTAAAACGTTGCACTCTGAATCAACCTATTAAAAAAATCATAAGCACAGCTCCACGTGGCGGAATATTATTTTTAATGGCTTCTTTTTAGTTGCCTTCTTTTTATCCCTAGAGGTTTGCATTTTTTCCCTTTAGAATAAATCTTCGATTGTTTGTTTATTCTTTAAATGAAAGCTGATATTTTTAAATAATCATATGACTTTTGGAGCCACAGTTTTAAGAAAGAGACAGAGAAACTTCTGGTAAAAATCATGATGACTGGCAAAGCAATGCAGGAAGACTCAGAATCTTCCCAGGCTATTTCCAAGGTACTACTAATACTATTATGATACAGTAGCATGTAGTATGATAGTGTATATAGTCTATAGTATATACTATATTTTACTAGGATTTCAATGACACCATTATCTAAAATGGCTTTACATTTTGTTCCAGTATCAGTTAACAGGATGTTTTTGTTATAAAGGTATGTTTCCTTTTCATTACAGAAATTGCTGCTGGCTGCAATGAGAGGAGAGAAACAACTCCTGAGACACTTCTAATATAGCTCTATCTGCACCACATCTTAAAAATAATGAATGTGTAAAAAATGTGGCATGAGATATTCTCACTTCAAACCAGAATGATCTGTGTTTTTGACACTGAAGTAACACACCTGCACTGAAGGTGGGAACTCGAGCAGCAGGAGGTTTGAGGTTTTTGACTTTTTTTGGTTTTTGACTTTTTTTGGTGTGGGCAAGGTCTGTCTAGTTACATGGCTGGAACTCCACAGCCACTGTTTGTCTGATGGCAGACCAAGCACCAAACATGTAGTCTTTAGAACAGCCAGCATGGAACAATTATTTCATATGGAACAATTATTTCATATGTCACATGTCTGAAAATCTGGTTTTGAATGGTGGGCAATGGTTTTTATGTGGTCCCACTCTGTGTTTCAGCCCAGTGTGCACAAACTGCCTCTTTCCAGCATCCTCTGAAAACAAGTTTCTCTGCAGTGTTTGATCTTACCTTTCTGGCGTTTTTCAAAAATGAAATTAAAAACACGCCCTATTCAGCTGAAAGCAACTCCTGCAGCTGCTACTGCCTGAGCTCTGTGAGTCTCTTGTGCTCTGATACTATGAATACTATTCTTAAAGGAAAAATGTCCACTTTCCAACAGCCACAGAGGAGGCTATTAGACATAATGATAATCCCATCCAGCTGAGCTGTTCTGCTCTCTGTCACAGCAGAGAAATTCATGCCTGTCCACAGTATCTGTTTCTTCTGGGCCTGATAGGGCAGAAGAGCGCACAGGCTGAAAGTGTTTTTTCTTGTCAAATTTGAGTCAGAGAAATATTAACATATCTATTCCATACTCTGCTATTTCAACTACCCCTTCTGGACCTGGAATATGGAGAAGTGTGTGGATGGAAGAAGCAATTTATAAGGGTTCACAACAGAATACTTCAAGAAGAAAAAAAGGGGGGTCATCCTGCACATGTTTTCTCTGATTTTTGGGAACAGCTTAAAGAGAGAAAGAAGAGATTTGTGATTTGCCTCCACATAAGGCTGAGTGGGTTTTGTGCAGTTTTAATTTCCCCCTTTCTCAAGGCTTATTCTGCATGCTTGTGAGGGAAAGGTGGAGGTGGAAATTAATGGTGGAATTAAAGAACAGAATTTGCAAAATACAGAATCGGAGAAAGATTAAGGTATGAGGGGAACTCTGAGAGTCCTGATACGAAGAGGAGTCCTTTTTGTCTTTCTGTTTGAGAGACAGCTTGTTCCTAGTGCTATGATGCAGACCATTGCCTAGCTTGCAGGATCCTACATGAGTTTAAGAGATTTTCCACTGGCAGTAGCCTGCATTGGAGTAAGCCTAGTAAAAATGCACAACAGGTTTTAGAGTAGATATCTTTAGTCTTCTAAGGCAAAATAGCAAGAATAAAACTAGTCTTAAAATAATACCAGTTGAAAAGCCCAAAATATACATCTACTTCAGAAAAACAAAAGTTGAGCCTATTGTATGTGTACCATCTGTGGGAAGCTGTATTGAAGGAAGCAGATTATTCATTCTAGATGTCCTTACTCATTTACAAATATAGTACATGGCAGCTCAGAGCTTTTAAATTTCTTTGTTGACACATTTTTTAAGATGAGTGAACATAGACCATATGGTAAGGATGCAAATATTTAGTCCTTGTAGGAAAATGTTACTGGATTTTTGTGCAAGTTCTGTTTCTGCTTATCTGGTGTGCAGGTGTTTTCAGTATTGATACCAGAACTTGCTATGGCAAGTGAGCAAGTATAAACATCTTTATATAACTTCATCTGTGAAGTTTTCTACAGTAAAGTTTAGGCATAACTTAGTAAATCACACTATATTTTAGACCATTTGCATAATACAATATTTAATGCCACATTAAACCTGTGTGTTTTTATTCTTCAGTGATGGCCTGAGTAATTTTTAGCAATTTGACTTTTTTTTGCATAGGAGATAGGAACATACAACTCAACAGGAAATGTGTTTGGCTCCTTGTCTTCCTTAATGTCCAGGGAAGTAGTGCCTCGACTCTTCAGCTAATTATTTCATAACTATAGCTGTTTAAATACATTTTAACTTGTGTTTACATGATTTTATTCCCAAAGGCATTTGTCAAGACTATTTAAGCTGCTGATTTCTGCAATCCTGATTTAGTCCAAGTATTTAACCATGAGTTCAACATGAAGCATACACATAGTCTCTGTGAGAAGCTTTGTTCAGGGCAACAGTGCTGAGTCTAAATTAAGTATGACTTGCTTTCCAAAGAAAGTGTTAGATCCTTGATCTGTGCCCACTGGCAAAATGCTGGGGCTGTTAGTGGGCAATCCTAGCATTCATTTTCCTCGTTTCACAGTCAAAATAATTGCTTTTGGAGTTTTTAGGACACCAGCTCAGCTCAAGCAGCTGCCTGGTGAAACCGCGATGGTGGCTCACCTGTACTGCCCAGTGCAGAGCTGTTTTGAAGTCCTTGTCCACCAGAGTCAGGTCTGCTCCCTTGTGCAGCAGAGTCTGAGTGTGCTGGGGCCTGTTGTGGAAAGCAGCCCAGTGGAGTGAAGTCATTCCCTGGAAGCCACAAACCCGGAGAGCAAATAATTGTCACTCACAGGAGCATCCTTCAAGTCTCTGTAGATGAGCTAGACAGATCTGAAACCATTTGTGACTGACAGACTCTTCCCTTTCCCTCTTTATTTTGAATAATTAGTAGCAGTTTCTGAATTAGTGGAGTCATAAGGGGGAACCAAGCAATTAGCTTTTTTGAGTTATTACAGAAAATGGATACCAATACAAATGCTTCTTTGGTACATGACTATAGCCTGTTTCAAGTAATGTGTACTCAGGACCGCGGTGGCTGGGGGATGGTTCCTCACTGCTTAGTTAAAATCCTGTGAGAAAAGCCTGTTTTAGACTGATGCTTTGACATGACACAGTGAGATGTTTATTTTAGGTCTTATCTTTGATCCAAAATAAATATTATAAACTAGTATTCTAGCTTACACTAATCAGCAAACTAAGGAACTGACCCAGTGATGTCAACAAAAATGTCACAATAGAAACATCTCATATTTATGGTTTAGGAAGAAAACAAAGCAAATGGTAAGGTATTGGCCTGCATTTTCACTTGATGTTAGCTGTGTTCAGTCAGTCTTGGTAGATCAGAGAATTCATGGCCTGTGTTTGTACATTCATCACCATTGTTATACACACCTGTAATTTACTCTACTCCATAATATTAAAGATTTTCTGTATAAAGTTACTTAACATGTAAACATTCAACATGTTCCTTAAAATTTGATGGTGTTCAGCTGTGCTAACATCTGATTTTACATTGGGCATTTGTTGTTTACTATCTCTTATCAAGAAAAACACATCTGAAGTGTCTTGCCTGGTTTCCATAATGGTAAAAACCAAAAAATGTAGAGTGGAAAAGAAACAAAAACTTGACATAGAGCCCCATAAAGCTGATTGGCAATGACTGAGGTAAAAGATGAGCTATAAAACATTGTTTCAGATAGCTTATCTGTGCATTAATAGTGGAAGTTGTTAGTAGCCATTTTCTAACTAAAAGCTAGAATGCCCTAACATTCATTTCTCTCACTCATCAGGTATATTATAAGGCTTTTCAAGTGCTCAGATGGCTTAAGTATAGGTGATGATGAAATAGAGCAGTTGAACAAGAGCAGTTTTGTTTCTAGTTAGGGTTTGCAAAGCTTAATCATGGGAGTTTTGGTTTTGTAAAACCAAAAATGACAGTGAAATCTTGCCTATCTGAAATTAATGGGAGCTCTGCCACTGACGTCAGTGAACCATGGTTTTGATACAAGGAATGTAGTACTATTGACAGACACTTGATGTCTGACAGTGCTGTGAAGTGAGGCTTCGGTGAAGTGATTTCCAGCTGGGAAATGGATCCTCACCCCTAGTCCTGAAAAGCAGGAAAAATCACAGAGAGAGGAAAAGCTACAGTGCACCAGGTCACCTTTCTGTCAACCATTCTCAGTCTGCTGACATGGGCACAATGTCCTTTGAAAAATTGGCTTTCTCTCTGTTTCTGCTATGGTAACCAGCAGAGTCAGCTGGAACGCTAGAGTGTGAAAATTGTGAGTAGAGGTTGAAGATCTCTCTAGTACAGGGACGCAGCTCAGAGAGGTCAGCTTAGAGAGAAAATATAAGAAAGAAGACTTGATGGTATATAGTCACCTAACGTTTGATAATTAGGCTAAGGATTTCCTATGCCATCCAGACCTCCACAGAGTAACGATGCATTTTCTGAAAAAGTAATCATTTTCATTTTCTTTAAAACTGCTGCCTGATAATTTCTGTAGGTGCCCCCATCATTTTAGATGTAAAAACCAGTTAATAATAATAATAATAATTTTATCTTTTCCATGCAATTATAATGACATGGACTTGTATTCCAGTCTCAGACACAGTTGCCAAGCTGAAAGTCCTGTTGTAGTTTGTTCTAGTTGTTAACCTGCCCATGAAAGGGAGCTACTCTGCAACTATTACCATCTTTGTAGTACTTTTCTGTTCCTTTTCTTAAGCATCCTTTTTCAGATTACTCTTACAGCCAACATTCAAGATACAAGTGTACCAAGGATTCATATAGAGCATAATGTTGCCTCCTGTTTTGTTTTCAATTTCTTTTTTAATAATTCGTTCATTCCACATGTCCTTTTGGACCACCCAACCCAGCAAAGAGCACTGAGCTGGTTGTAGCAGCAGCTCACATGTGTGGGCCTTCTGCTGTGGGCAGTGACTGTCTCACCCACATGCTTCTGATTTGTGCATGGTGATTTTACCCTTGAGTGGCATCTATAGACAGACTGCTGTTTGTGAGAGGAAGCATGAGAGTGGTGTCAGCACTGTCAGAGCTGAAGATACAGCAGAGTATGCTATTAAAGGTAAGACAGCCAAACAACTGTGTGTTTATAAAAATAAGGACCAATAGGGGACATAAAAGGGGAAAAAAACAAGAAAGGGCTGTGGCAAATATAGTGTGACACTTGTTTTGCCCAGATTTGAGGCTTTTTCGGGGAATGTTTCTTCTCATTGTCATCTCAGGCTTCATAAGTAAACCCACAGAAAGCCACAGTTGTGGAAACTATGAAACCTCCAGATGTATTTCTTACTGTTTACAAGTTCATGTATTCATCAGGGTGTTTTTCTCAAGTGTAAGATGGGAAAGCTGAAGTGTTTTACTTACGCCAAGAGAACAGCTCTATTAGCTGCAGTCATTTGTGAGGATCCACACTTTTCAGAAAACATGAATATTCAGGGCCGAGTACTGACACTTGAACAAATAGCTTCTCCATGCCAAATGACAGTGAGCTGGACATCTAAATTGTGTGTAGCAGTTCATTACAGCAAAACATTATGGCTTTGAAATTATGATCCATGGTTCCATGCAATTCATTAGCAACATAATTCTACACTGAGACAAAGCACACAACTGGTTTAGGTTATTGTGAGCAGGGTCTGCAAATCATCCAGTGAATAAGGCAAGTTCATGGGAAAGACAAAAATTAACAACCCTGTGGTCATTCTGACACCATAAAGAAGAGGTGTATCCTTGAGCAATTGTTAGGGTGAAGAGAAACATATGAAAAGACATTCAGAGTCTCTCTTGCATCTTGGCTTCTCTATTTGGAGGAGAACACATTTGGAAAGTTAACACTCTCCTGTGCACACTGTATATATTCAGGGCACAATTCTTTAAGGATCAGAGGACAGCATAAATTTCTGTGGCGTCATGGCTGTTCTGTGTAATACCAGCTTTCTGATATCTTTCCAGAGTACAGTACTTAAATGATGGGATTATTGGTAAAGGTGAAGATTCAGTTCACTATCTAACTCCAGAAAAATCAAAAGCAATCACTGTCTTGGCAAGTGAGTTGAGAGACTGATTCAAGGTACTTTGTAGTTGGCAGTATAAGGAGAAGCAGGAAAAAAGAAATAATGCTTTGCAGCATTCAGCAAAAGTGTTGAAACAGAAATTTTTGACACGTGGTGTCTTATAATGAAATTGGTAGTTCAGGAGACTATTTCTGAACAGCATGACTTGTATGCAACCAGAGCCTGTGACTGTGACTTGCAGCACAAGTTCACCCACCTCATTGTCCTGATGATTAATTTCACTAAGATTTGACTGCTGCAGAAGCACGTTCAGAAGCCTGCGGAAGCAATGACATAATCAGTGCACTGTGCCCATGACTAAAAATTGACATTTTTTGAGAAACAAAATATGCAACCTCAAGAAAAATCAGTACTAGTGGTGGGCACAGGTCAGAATCTTAGGTTTGAGCTTTGCCATACTAGAAAAGCAAATAGGTCTTTATGACTTACTGTAGCAACAGAAGTTTAGTGCTGGAAATTAAAAGCAGATCCATTAGGAAGAACTCATTTGCTGATTGCCAGGCTAGAATCAGAGTGTGTGACACTATACATGTGTGCAGTTTTTGGTAGCTTAGCAATTCATTAGAATAATATTTTACAAAGTTTTAAACAAACAGAGACGCTAATGACCTGTTTCTAGAAGGATTTTTCATTCTCCTCAACTCTTGGAGTAATGTGATCTTGTGTACGTGTTTGTGTGTGTGTGTGTGCATGTATGCATACAATACATTTGCACACGGACAAACCAGTAGTCTTTTACAAGGCCTTACAGTATGTCTGCTGGGATAGTGCCATTGTTACAGTATAAAATATAGTAGTGCATTGGTTCACATTTTAAAGAATATCAGACTTCAAACACTCCCCTCTGGTCGAGGGAACAGTTACAATAAAATATTACATGAAATATTATTCAAGTACAGTAATGGTTTTATTTGCAAGGATTTTGATTTTCTTTTCCTTTTGGTATTCTATGAAGATGTTCTGAAATCACTGTAGGTTTGGCGAAGATGTTGTGTTTTATAGTAGGATGCTAAGTTTTTGGATCATGTGCACCATGACAATGAAAAGGACCACCCTGTCACAGGCTGTAACAAGGCCAAACAGCATAGATCCTAACATGGATGTACAGTTCTTATGATTCTAGCAAAAGGAAAGTGGTACACTGCATAAGGTTGTAATGCAAATCTGTGGCTCATCTGAAGGTGTGAATTTGCTAGAAACCTTTAAAACATGGATATTTGAAAGACATGCTCTTTTGCAAGGAAATTAAAAGATGATGAAATGCCAAGGAGGGAACTCTGATAAATGTACAGATAATACACAGAGAAATGTATACAACCATGCATTTTTCCCATGCATGGGAAACTGAATGAAAATCTCTTGCTGCTTTTCATCAGGACAATCTTCAACAACTCCCAGTATGCCTTTTGGATTGAACTGTGCTCAGGTGCATGGCTCAGATCAAGTTGAGAATGTTGCATGACAAGTTTGTTAATTTTCTTTTTCCCCTCCCTGTAATAAAAAACTAGGTAATGTAGATTATTCAAAAGAAAGACATTCACAGTTGCTTAGGGGTGATTTGGGCAATTCTGCAGGTGAAAAACTTATCCTTTGGTAATGCCATCTTCAGGTGTCAGAAGTCCAAATTAAATTTTTTTCAAACTAGAATACCCCTAAAATGTGAAGACTGGGCAGATCCCAGTGCTTTTCTAGGACTTCAAATCTATTTGTATATGGATACAAATAATTGTAGGACAGGGTTGTTACACCTGCTTCTCTGAATCACACAACAAATGGCATAATTGAGTCATACCACAAGGACTCTGACAAAGATGGCATTTTAGGATTTACCAAACTGTGATCAGTTTGGCAAAAAATTGTAAAAGGAAAGAGACATTTTTGTGATCATTTTACACAACAGGTCAGAATCTCAGAAATTCAGTATCTGAAAACAGATCTGGGTAAAAATGGACTAGTATGCAGAAAGAAAATGAGATGACCATAATAGGCTTGTAAACCCCATTCATCACATAGTTTTGTAATCTGATACATGGTTCTGTAGTTTAACCCCAAATATAATCAGTGAAACCAGTGTATGTGAAGGAAATCATAGAATCACAGAATATTAGGAGTTGGAAGGGACCTCGAAAGATCATCCAGTCCAACCCCCATCCAGAGCAGGATCACCTAGACCAGGTTACACAGGAAGGCATCCAGGCGGGTTTTGAATGTCTCCAGAGAAGGAGACTCCACAACCTCTCTGGGCAGACTGTTCAGTGCTTTTTAATCCTTACAGTAAAATTTTTTCCTCATATTCAGATTGAACCT